TTATGGTTCCTACACCCTGAATTTGCAAGAAGCATTTGTCTATATGTTTTAGTTGTGCTCATGCCCTGTTATCAAACCTGCTGATTTGGAAGCACTTCAAAGCCCTTTATTCTTCAGAGTGGCTGTCTCTGAAGCCATTGAGGGGATTTCTTTTTTTATGTTTTCTGATTACAGTGCAGCATTTATTATGATGCCTTTTAAGATAGGGCAACTTTCTTTATACATTTTTTTACTGAAAGGTATAAATGAGCCCCCTTTGGGAGGGTTGTTTTTTAAATTCCAGTGTATGATCTTAGTGATTTATTACCGCAAAGAGCAGAGAATCAGTCAACAACATCTGGACAGGTCTGTGTAAGGCTTTTTTTTTTTTTTTTTTAAATCTGTTCTTTCCTGAGACAAATGTAAAGTTTTGCACTGGGCACGCTATCAAGTTCTCTGGTGAAGCATATGCTCACGGCTTCATCTTTCTTGAGCTTTGCAGCCTTTCCCTCCTGTTTCTGTCTTTTTTGTTCTCTCGCTCATGCACCGTTTATTTTTCATTATCCCTTCATTTCCCTTGTCCCAGGTTTTTCATCTCATTATTTCTTCTGATGCCAGAAAAGGGGCTGTTGGGTTACCATATGGTGTTACTAGGTGACCGTGCGGTACCAACACTGGTTGTCTTGCTTGCTAAAGTTCTCTCAGTGCGTCAGTCAGCTTGCCCTCTCCCTCACTGAATGTCCTTCCCTCCCTCCCCTATACAACTTTAGGTTGTGTTTCTTTCTTTCCCCTTAGAATGTTTTGGGTGTTTGAATTTGTTCAGAGCCCCAGATATTGATTATATTCTGGGGAGGCTTCACCAGCCATCAGCTCAAAGACACTCTGTCTCTTTTACTGGTTTACAGCCTCATGGGAAATACTGCACTTGATCCTCCACTAGCATAAATCAATGTAGCTCCATTGACTTCAATTTATCTGAGACGAATAACACCAGCTGAGGATCTGGCCCAATATCTTTATTTTCCAAATGTCTTTTCTTCACTTTGCTTGTGTTGTACCTAAATTTAAAATGTGTGATCCTATATGGAATAGCTTTAAAGTACACGCTATACGACACACAACAGACTATATATTTCATTTTCTAAAATCCTTTTGATAGATTGTGGTATTTTCAGAATGGAAATTGGGACGTTTCATTCTACTCACGTATAATTACAGTCACACACCTCCAGGTACCAGCTGAATTTGGGCCTGCTTAGGGTGCCAGCCTGGAACTCAGGAGACCCAGGTTCAAATCCCTGCTCTGCCACAGACTTCCTCTGTGACTTTGGGTAAGTCACTTAGTTTCTTTACACCAGTGGTTCTCAAACTAGGGCTGCCGCTTGTTCAGGGAAAGCCCCTGGCAGGCCGGGTCGGTTTGTTTACCTGCTGCATCCACAGGTTTGGCCGATCGCAGCTCCCACTGGCCGCGGTTTGCCGCTCCAGGCCAATGGGAGCTGCAGGAAGTGGCGTGGGCCGAGGGACGTACTGGCCGCCACTTCCCATAGCCCCCATTGGCCTAGAGCGGTGAACCACGGCCAGTGGGAGCCGCGATTGGCCAAACCTGCAGACGCGGCAGGTAAACAAACCGGCCCAGCCTGCCAGGGGCTTTCCCTGAACAAGCGGCAGCCCTAGTTTGAGAACCACTGCTCTACACCTCAGTTGCCTATGTATAAAACAGGGAAAGTAGAACTGCCCTGCCCCGTAAGGGTATTGGGAGGATAAATGCATAAAATATTGTGAGGAACCGGATGCTACTGTGATGGCAGCCATACAAGCATCTTAGCTAAAAGGAGCGTGGAGGGTCATGTGGGGCAGTCACGTGCCCCCCTTTAGCTGGTCCCCCTCTGACATGGCAGTGGCATAGGTCTGTGGAGGTTCCTTTTGAATGTTTGAGATTTTAGATAAGCCCCCAAAAGTGCGTAAGTGCATCCAATGCCTATTGGAACTACCCCAACCTCTTGGATCCGCCGGATGGAGCCAGAAACACAGTGGGCACAGCCTTTCTCATGATATTTGGGGCTTTGGTGTCTGGTTCAGGAATCACCCAGGAAATGCAGAGGCCAGTGCACAATACATGTATACACGTAATGTCAAACCCCATTAATGACTCATATTTGGATCTGAGTTCTGGATGATTGTTTGAGCTGGGTTGAGATTTGCTTGGAAGTTGTTTTCCTAGTCCCTAATTGAAAATCTGGGGGAAAGGCTAGGTAGTCGGTGTGTGCAGTATAGCCCATTCCAGCAGGCAGCAGTCTAACACACTGAATGGTTGCATGTCTCACTGAACACCTTCCATCAGCTGACCGGCTGTTGTCTAATTCCTGCAGAAATAAAATAAATAAAAAATAAATTAATGGAGATATCCTATCTCCTAGAACTGGAAGGGACCTTGGTCATCAAGTCCAGCCCCCTGCCTTCACTAGCAAGACCAAGTACTGATTTTGCCCCAGATCCCTAAAGTGGGCCCCCTTAAAGTTTGAACTCACAACCCTGGGTTTAGTAGGCCAATGCTCAAACCACTGAACTATCCCTCTCACTCTAATGATGATGACTTTCTTGCTTTTTAGTTGATGAGACCTTAGTTGCTGAAATGCTGCCACATTGGCTTTTTTTGCCCTGTTTGCTGTTTGTGTGTCTGACAGATTAATTCTGAGAGAGGTAGGTTTGTGAGGGAGGTTGGCCTGGAACAGGTGCTGGCAGAAGTCAGCTCTGGAAGCTTTCATCTTCTCAGCTGTTGAGTGGACACACAATAAGTAGTAGTTTGGTGAAAATAAAATATTTATTTCCTGCTGCAGGATGATAACTGGCTCAGTGCAGAAGTTAATATGATTTATTTGGGGATTTGTTTATAAAGAGATTATATTGTAATGAATCTGTGGGCATGAAGGGCCTTATAGATGTAGTTCTCCGACGTGCAGTCGGCATTCAGAGCTTCGCAGCAACAGTGGGGCTGGAACTCTAGTCCTCCTGCTCCAAAAGCACAGGCTGATATAGGAGAATCTCTTCTGCTGCTAGCTGTACGGGGCCTATGCCACACAGCGAAGTTGCTCTGACTCCATCCATTTGAGAGCAGAAGTGCATATACCCACCAGCCATGTCATTGCACTATGAAATGAGTGACACACTGAAGCATTTGATTGTCCTTAGCGTGGCTTTCAGAGTGGGCACAAATTGATCCAGCTCCTGTTTAAATCCAGACCCAATGACCTGCTTTGATTTGGCAGCCTTCTGGGTCAGTGAATTGTTCAACCTCCTCACATAGCTCACCTGGGCACTAAAGTGCATCTGGTTTTGAACCCTTATGAGACTCCCTAGCTATTCGCTTTCTCCCTTCTCCTAAAGCACTGTCAGCCCAGCAAGAGCTGGTGGAATGCACTAGATGGTATTTCCCTGTGAAGAGGAGCCAGTGCATGTTGGTAAGGTTATGTTTTAGCGAAGGCAAGCCAAAGTCATTGCTAGGAAGAAGAGACAGCAATCAGGACAGGGGAGGGTAAGGAGTGGGTGGGATTTGGGTTTCCCAGTGGAGAGTAAACTCTGATAGAAGTTTAGTCCATTGTGGCATCTCTGCATCGTGAATCTAGCACGTGATTGCTCTCCTGTCAGTGACACTCTTAGGTGAAATGACCCGTTCTTTCTTTTGAATTATCGAGCTGTCAAAGGCTAGCAGCTGGGAGCTTCGGCAGTGACGGAAGGTCAGAGACAGGGCAGTGATGTGGGGACATGAGAGGTCGGATGGATGTTTTCATGCACTCCCCATGTGGGTTTGGGACAGTTGCAGGGAGCTTGGTTTGACTACATCGGCACATTTAGCCCTTTGTGCAGTGCACTGTATGTATATGTATTTCATCATTTTCTTAAGGAGAGGGAAACAGTTAAAGGGGAAAATCAGGAGTGTCTGACTCCATCTCTCCTTTCCACCTGTATTTATTTAGCTGAGCAAGAACACACATCTGAGCATGCAGTTTCATTGCTGGCGCCTAGTGAGGCATAAAGGTCAGTGTCAAGAGCCCTCAGCCACTGTCAGAGTGTAAAAGGCCCTTTGTCAAAGTTCTTGGTTTTACAAGTATATTTTGTTACAATTTTGTATCTGTTGCCTATAGAATCCTGAGCAGAGTGGGATTGCTCTCTCTCTGAAATACAGCTGTCTCTGGGTAACATGCAGCAGCTGTTCTGCTACAGCAAAGTTACACAATTTCTAGCAGGGAAAGAATAAAGAGGAAGTGTTGTCTAGTGGATAGGGCACTCATCTGGGGTGTGGGATGCCTGAGTTTTAGTCCCAGCTCTGCCACAGATTGAGCTGTGTGACCTTGTGCAAGTCACTTCATATCCACCTACCTTGTCTATCTAGATTGTAAACACTTTGGGGCAGGGGTTGTCTCTTAATATGTTTTTTTCAGTGCCTACCATGGGGCCCTGATCTCAGCTGTGGCTACTGTAATACTAGTGATTGATGACGATAAAGGGAGAGGCTGTTTTTCTTTTTAAATTGACGCTAGAGAGGGGAATGTTTAGTTTGGCAAAATGAAATGGCTTGAGTTGGAATTTGGCCAGAACCCTGGAGCTGACACGTCTTATGATGTACATGTGTCGTCTGACCCAGGTGGCAGAAATATATCCCTGTGTCTGGTCTGGATTTGTTCTGAGTCTGTGTTGCAGACGGAGGGCTCAAGGGAAACAGTTCAGAGACTGAAGACTTGTCTCATTTCTTTTGATATGTGGGTGTTTGTTTATTTTTAATGGTCAGTACAGATCAACATAATGTTGAGGCTAGAGGGCTAACGCTGGTCTTGTTGGATAACTGAATCAAACACAGAGGGCCTGATCCTCAGCTGCTGTTACTAAGTTTAGCTCCATCAATGTGAGTGATGTCCTGCCAATTTATACCAACTGGGGATCTGACCCAGAGACTGGGAAGACCAAGGTTAAAAAAAATTATTGAAGAAATTGACATTATTTCTCCATTGTTTTTCTCCCCCCAGGGCTGCCATTGAGGTTCTAGCAGCTTTGCTGAAATCAAGTAAGCGCCTTCTCTTTATATTCTTACTGACATACCTGTCTGTGCTGTGCACCTGGATAGACGTCCCATTAGGAATGGATACATTCTTCTCCAACTCAGTGTGCCCCCCTCCCCACCTCTGAAATGCAATAGACCAGGGATTGGCAACCTTTGGCACATGGCCCATCAGGGAAAGCCACTGGTGGACTGGGATGGTTTGTTTATCTGCAGCATCCACATGTTCGGCCGATTGCAGCTCTCACTGGCCACGGTTCGCTGTCCGCGGTCAATGGGGGCTGCGGGAAACAGCAGCCAGCACATCCCTTGGCCCGCGCCACTTCCTGCAGCCCCCATTGGCCGGGAACGGCGAACCGCGGCCAGTGGAAGCTATGATCGGCCGAACCTGCAGACGCTGCAGGTAAACAAACCATCCTGGCCCGCCAGCGGCTTTCCCTGACGGGCCGCCTGCCAAAGATTGCCGATCTCTGCAATAGACCAAAGCAATCTGTGTTGAGAAATGGGAGGGGATAATATGTAGTATTTATTGTATGTCTTGCCATGTTTCTCCCTGTGTCTCTATGATGATGCAGGTGGGAAATCATAACCTAGACATAAGGGTGCAAGCTCCTTAAGTGAAATGACCAGGGTGGCCACTTGTTCTGATTTTTTGGGAAGGGCTTAGAAGAATTCTGCAGACTGTCATAATGACACCACTTTTACTTTATTCTTCCCCTGCTAGCATCTCAGGTCTCCACTTGTGCTTGAAACCTTGCAGATCTTAAAGCTAGCTCCGGTACTTAGAGATTGCCTTGGTGTAGCCAAGCTCTGGCAGGGAGTAGCTAACACTGGCAGTGTCTGGTCCTTGGGGGTTAGGGCTCTTTTAGCTTGGGTCCCCTTGTATGTACTCCTGGCCTGAATGTTCCTGAAGTGAACGCGTTACCCTTTTCTGCCTTTATCTCATCCAAAAACACTTAGCTTTTTATTACCAGGATTTAATAAAGCTTTGATTAAGAAAGAGTGCTCTAGTATTGCAGACAATCTCCTCTCCAATAAATCACAATGGCGTATTGTCCTCTCTCTCTTCCCCCTCCTCCCCGCCCCCTTTACTCTTTCTCTTCTCTGTCCTTTTCATGAGCATTAGGAATAAATGCATTTGTGAAAAATTGTAGGCCTGGAAGCAGTACTTAAATGAGCATGCTGCAATGGGATCATGTCTGAGTCGCACCAGCTCAAGTGATGAATTCTCAAATAATGCTCCGGTATTAACCTTGCTGACTAGATTTAAAGGTCACGTTATTGCAACAAGGAAACACCTTCTGGTTCAGATACTAAATCTTAATAAGGGGGTGATGGGGCCACTCCAGAGCTGCCTTCAACTTAAAAGCAAAATTAGCATTTAGAGAAGGAGGAATTCACAGAGAGGAGGGGAGCTGCAGGGAGAGTGGAAAGCTCAGTTGGCAGCGCAAGCCTTTCTACGGCACTCCTGCTTTATGGTCAGCACCTGGGGCTGTGAAGGGAGATTCTGCTGTCTCCGTGGTGGTGATGGGGCCAGGCTTCCTGTTCCAGGACAATGGCCCACCCTATTCGCGACTGCACAGCGTTGATGTGGTAACTACAGCAACCACTTAGTGGAAAAGTGACATTAGGAAAGTAAGGGGTGGAGTTGTAGATGTTTTTAAAACATGTGATATAACTGGAACCAAAGAGGCTGAGCTAGCATCATGTGATCAGCTAGCTCTGCCCAAACCACCAGCAGCGGCTCTGTGGTTCATCAGTGGTCCACAGTTAGAGAGTCACTGGTCTAGAACATGATTTGGGTTTCTTCTCACTCTTAGTGTCTTTGGAGGCTACTAGAAGAAAGTAAATGTCTACAAGCATTAGGCATGGTTGTGTGTGAGAATTGCTTGTGAAGACACAGGCTGAAATCAAACGTGGTGGACCTCACAGAGGTGAAAGCTGTGGGCTTTGAGCTGAATGGGAGATGGAAACCCTGGTGCGAGCTGCAACAATTAAATCGGGGTGTGTATCCGCACATCGGTTATTCTGAGCCTCATCGGGGCCTTGAAAAGTGACCTGCTTGTGCTGCTGCAGTGGGACTTGATCTTGCTAGGAATGAGGATGAGATCACCCAGAAAACAGAGAGGTCAAGAATGCATCCATTCTTGGTGGTCCACCTTCAGGGTTGCACTCAGTGTCTCCAGCTGGGATGTTGCTCTGCCTCTGGCTACACAGATCATCTTTGCAAGGATCTCTTAGGCCAGGAGCCCCCCTTCTGCTTTTGGCAAGAAGTCAGAAGGAGAAAGAATCCCCTATAGTTTTAATAGGACCAGGCAGATGGCAGTGCCTCTCCCTAATGTTTTCATGGTGATAATCTCCCTGCCCCTCAAGATTCCTCTAGTCTTCACTGATACTTTGGCCAGCTGCTGAGGAAAGGGCTACCGTTAAGCTTTGATCTGTGGCCAAAATCTAGCCTCTCTCTGTCCAAACAGACACTGATGGGAACTGCTCACCTGCAACTGCTTAATACTGGGGAGCTGTTGGGGAAGTAGGTGAGGGAACAAGATCTATCTGGGAGCCACAGAAGGCAGCAGAGTATGAGGAAATTACCAGTCTGTCTGGAGCTGGGAAACTATCTTGACCAGGGGCAGCTCCAGGCACCAGCGCAGCAAGCGCGTCCCTGGGGCGGTAAGCCGTGGAGGGAGCGGCCTGCCGGTCGCTGTGAGGGCGGCAGGCA